CCTCACATTATTAAGCGTTTAGTCACAGCCGGTGGCTTGAGGTGATTCTTATTTATCAGACACTATGGGTGCTGGACTTGTGCTGCAATCACAGAACTTATGTAGTAACGAGACACACAGGCCAAGGGACTGTTTTATCAGTCAAAGGCTTAATTGGCATATTCCAAACCTCTCAGCCAATAGGGAGAAGGGAAGAGGGGAAGTAATTTGATTCTCCAGAGTTGCTGCCAAGGTTTGTGCACGGTGTGTGGTGGTGGGGATTTGTAAAGTGTGTGTTTGAGTGGTTCCAACATTCAGTATTCAAGTAAGGAGTGTTAGTGTTAATGCATGTCAGAACTTTAATTACTTCAAGACTTTTATTGTACTCTATTAAGTGGATCCCAGGAATCCAGCTTCCTCCGATCAAGAGGAAAGATCAAGCTGAAACTGGACCTGTCTCTGAGCAGGAAGTTGAACAGCATGGATGTGTTGCTAGGAAGCCAGAGAGTAAACAAAACCGCTATAGATGAAGGAAAGATTAATGCTGCGTTCCAGTTGTACACAGAAGTCAGAATTTCGTCTGGAACGCCCCCTTGAAGTCAGATTTTCATCTCGGAAAGTCGGATGATCCTCACCAACCCCGACCAACGTCTAACTGTGAACATGGTGCTATGGTGTTTGGTATCGCTAACAACAACTATCAACTGCTTACAACAGCTAACAACAACTGACAACGGCTAAGGACAGCTGATATTTGTAAACAAAAGCTAACAACGGCTAACTGTAGGTGTCCATCTTGGTTTTCTGACCTGTTAACTGGAACGCCGTAAACTCGGGTGTAACGTCATTCCCAGCTCAAACATCCGACTTCTGAGGTAACTGGAACGCAGCATTAGCTTACCTAACAAAAGACACAGAACTGTAGAAGTGACAGTTTTCATCACGCCAGCTTCTTTTGCATCTGTTTTGACATGTAACAGGTCAACGAGCTGAAAGAGGGGCATGTCGCCACTATCGTTATTTGATATTTGCCCAGAGCATGTAAACTGGGACAAAGACATTAGTCGTGTTGAATCACCTATTCGAGCTAAAACCATAGCTCAACTTTACTTTGCATCCAAACATAAAAACTTTCTCGTGCAATGGTCACCAGTTTGGGGATTTTGGACTCTAAAGTTAGGTGACCAGACGTCCACAATTTCCAAGGACAGTCACCGTATTGGATGACCTGTCTCCAGCTAAAGCTGTCCCTGGAAAAGTCCCGGATTTAAGCGTTTCATGAATGAGAACAAAAATGTTGCCTGTAGACTAGAACAGTTATTGCGATAGCCGGATTGGTAGGAAGCATGAGTAAGCATGCTGTGCACGGTCCTGAACAACAGTTATTACGGGGGGCGTGCGCGCTGCTACTGAGTAGTACCGAGATGTTGTCTGTGATCATGCAGCACATGTCCCCAGGTTTCATTACAGAACTAATAGGTTAATACTCCTAAAAATCCCGTAATTACAGCAGAATGTGAAACCGCTTAGCTAGTTTCTGGAAGATGTTCAGAGTAATCTCACAGTTCTGGGTGGAGTAGATCCGATTTGTGGAGGAGAAACGTTTTAAAATTGCTCTCCATGGATGCTCCTGTATGTCGGGGGTCTGCTTCTCTCTGCAGGTCAAAATATGTGAATGCAGATTAAACTGACTTAACACAATTCCTGGGTTTCCTGACAGATATCTGCCCCAGTGGCCTCGTGCTGCTAATTTATTTTACTGATGGTGTTTCTGAGAGACTGTCAACATCCTGATGGACTCTGACTGACTGTATGAACTACTCTCTGACTGACTGGCTGTGTAATTGCTCCAACCTCCTCCCAGGGCATGTTTGGCATGCTGTAATTATTAGCAGTTATTATTAGTAGGTTTAATAATCATTGGAAGCCATTGTAATTAGAATTTTCTATTATGAGTGGCAGCCAGCTTTTTTGGTGTGTGTGTGTGTGAGTGCTTGGCAAGGTATTGTTCAGCTGTAGCTATTATTGGCAGCCCGCTTTGTGTTCCCTTGACTTCTGATTGTTTTCATGTACACGTGTGCTCGAAGGCTGTCCTTGGAACTGACTCAACTCCCAAAATCCTCATTAATTATTGTCAACTTCTGATCTTGTTTTCCCTCCGAGCCTGACGAGCACATTTCACATCAGAGGAGGTTTTTTCTTTTTTTTTTTTAAGACGTAGTCACAACTGCACACCTGTCCGTTGTTCTCTCGTCGACTAAAATAGGGCAGTGTCCTTTTGTTGCCTCCGTGAACTTATGGTGCAATTTAATATGTACAATCAGCTTTAATATGCAGAAGTGATAAGAAGAGGAAGTGTGGTTTTTACATGGAGTCCTCAGCATTTTCTGAGGAAATATTTCCAAAGAACAACACTTTCACGCTGGTTTCATTTCTCAAGACTTGAGATCCTCCATTTGATTTGCTTTCAAATGGTCCGTCCATCCATTTTCCTGCGCTTATCTGTGACCCTGAGCAAGTCAACCAAGACCGCCCTCTCCCTAGCAAGACTTTCTAGGTCCTTCTCCTGGATCCAAAGGTGCATATAATCCCTTCAGCGAGCTCTTGGCCTAACCTAGGTCTCCTCTCAGTTGGATGAACCTGAACATCCTCAAAGAGCCATCCCCATCGAAAGCCCAAACCAACCCAAGCAGCTCTACTCCGAGCTCTCTCTGGATGTCTGAACCTCTAACTCTATCTTGACTAAGCCCAGCCACCCTCTGAGGGGGAACTCATTTTGGCCACTTGTCGCCACAACCATATGTTTTTGGTCAGTGCACACAGATCATGACCGAAGGTGAGGGTTGGAACACAGATCGACTGAAAGTTTTCTCTTCACCACTTCGGTCAGTTGCAACGCCCGCACCAGTCCGCCTCATAATCCCTCACTCATGAAGAAGACCCCAAGATACTTAAACTCCCTCACTCGCAGGGAGAAGTCGCTCCCAACCTAGACGGAGTAGTCCATTGTTTTATGCTGAGGTTTCTGCCCTCTGACTTGGATGTGCTTTCAGATTGTGACCTCTTTATCCGAGGTCTGTTTTTTTATCCTCTCAGGTAGTTGTATTTAACCATTTCCGGAGCTTAAATGTGCTAAATTATTTGTGACCCACAAGAGCGTAATTTGGCTTGGCCTTGGGCGGTAATATGTAGCACAACTGCCAAAGGCAAATTTCCTCTCAAGGGCAATAAAGTGAGTCTCATCTAAACCCAATTGAAAATTTTAAAAAGAACCGTTCGAGGACTGAATTGTGTCGCAAAAAAAGTGTGTTTTCAAACGCGGTACATCCAGGTAGGTGTTCGGTTTCTGTTTTGAATGAAATCTAAAAAGACATTGAACCTCACCTCAAGTGTGGGAATGCGTGATCAACAAAACAAAAGCAGAGGAGGAGGAGAGAGGTGGGAGTGATGTTTACAGTAAATTCTGTTGTGTGTGTGCGTGTCCTCAGATTCACATCCTGACGGGGTCATGGACAGTGTATCAAGAACACTGAGTGTATCTTGTTAAGTGTGTGTATGTGTGTAAAATTACATTTCCTCTTTCCCCAGTGCGCTGTAATGACTCGTGGTGGACTCCACTGGCAGCTGTTTCCCCTTTTTTTCCCTTCCCTGACACACACACACACACACACAGACACACAAAAAGCAGACTGGAGGTAACCTTGAGACATCTCCCCTGTAACATGCTATGAGGTCAACAACAGTGTGAGCAATGGGTAAACTTGTGTCACCGGAGACAGTGGATTGTTCTCAAAAAGAGGCGAGTTCAGCTCATGAAATCTCTCTAAAATAAGTCCCAGATTTTCTCATTTGGTTTTAAACATCATGATGGTTAACTTTAAAGGGATATTCCGGCGTAAAATTAATTTAGGGTCAAACACAGCGTAACATCGAGTTAGACACCCCGTCAAGAGATGAATGTTGCCGACCGCTTGCTTCTCTAGTTATATCAACTTTAGGAACAAAAGCAGGATAGCAAAACACAGCAGTCTGAGGAGCCATACACAAACCTCAACCAAAACGCCACTCAATAACCACAAATAATGCTCAGAACAGCACGTAACTTTGTCAACAGTACATATAGAGTCCCAGCCATAGTGCTAGCCACCAAATATCTTTTTAACGTTGCCTAATTTCTTTAGCAAGGAGACTAAACACAACTCACCTACTCTCTTCCAGCAGCTGCTTGTTTGTAGCGAGACCTCAGGCCGGTCCATTACAGACTACAGCGGGGTGACGCAGCTCAAGGAAGAACATTTACGATCATTTCTTCATGAAAATGCAATCAGACCGAGACACTAAGACAGAAGAACTACCGCGTCTGCAGTGCAAAATGATTAATATGGTGATTATAACTTCAAGGAAATGATAAAGTAATGATCATAAATGTTCCTTCTTTGGCTGCGTCACCCCGCAGTAGTCCGTAATGGACTGGCCTGAGGTCTCGCTACAAACAAGCAGCTGCTGGAAGAGAGTGGGTGAGTTGTGTTTAGTCTCTTTGCTAAAGAAATTAGTCAAAGCTAAAAAGATGTTTGGTGGCTAGTGCTGTGGCTGGGACCCCATATGTACTGTTGATGAAGTTAGGTGCTGTTCTGAGCATTATTTGTGGCTATAGAGTGGCGTTTTGGTTGAGGTTTGTTTATGGCTCCTCAGACCGCTGTGTATTGCTATCGTGCTAAAGTTGGTATAACTAGAGAAGCAAGTGGTCGGCAACGTTCATCTCTCGACGGGGTGTCTAACTCGGTGTTACAGTGTGTTTGACCCTGAATTAATTTTACGCCAGAATATCCCTTTAATTACCTCGCCCACTCTCTCTCTCTTGTATCTCTTCATTCACCTCACCTCTGCTGCTCTTTACCTGCCAGCAGCTCCAGCCTCATCAAGCTCTTCCTACTCACCTGTGCACACGGCTGTTTTCCACTGCCAATCAAGCAGCTATTTAAGCCTCCTCCTCCTCCTCTCACTCATTCATTGCCAGGTTGTTCTCCTTCTCCTCACTCACTCCTGGTAGCTGCCCCCCCCTGACTACAGTCATGGTCAAGGCTGCTGAGTGAGTCTGCTTGTTTACCGTCCTGATGATTTCTCCGGTTTCTGGAGCTCCAACTGTGTCTCCACATGGGTCTGTACCTGACCTGTAACAGAGGAGACAGGATTAATGGAGGCCATGAGCAACGGTTACTTGCTAACACGCTCACCTTCTCTGTCTCCAGGCAACTGAAAAGGTGAGTTGAATGTGCAGCGCTGGGTTTGACTTGATGGGATTGTTTGAGATGTTTAGGACGAAAGTTTAAAATAGTTGAAGAAGAAGAAGAAGAAGAAGAAGAGCTGGGTGCATAAAGAGAATCCAGGTGGATCACATGCCCACATTTTTAGGCTCAAATGGATGTAAAACTATTTCCATTTCCATCTGTTTCTTTCTCTAAACCTTAAACTGTGGGAAATAAATCACAGATTAGCGCGCCTTTCCTAGAAATCGCTCATTTTTATCTTTTTTAGTTGCTCCTGTTCCTTTGATCGCTCCGGCTACAGGCGCTTTCCATCAGTCAGTCCCATTTTGGTCTAATCAGCTTCTCAGGAACACCTAGAGGGAACATCTTTACATTTGACTCAAGTCCATCACCTCAGGGCGAGGATATTAGATTATGGAGGCCAAAGGTCAGGGTCAGAGTGACTCTACTTCTGTCCGTTTCTCTGTGAGCTATGTGAGTTTCACTGCACCCCTTTTTTTTATTCATAGAGAATCTGTGATGTTTCTGCCATCATGATACATTCATGACAATCACATGGTCTACAGAGACAGAGAGGGACATCCAGAGGGAGATAAACAGTTGTAAAGGGTTTATTCTAGTTTTTACATTTATTTGAAATCATCTCTTGAGGCGAAGTTTAACTCTTTACTGTTTAATGTTACAGGCAGGAGAAGGTTCATCTGAACATGACATGCGTTGATGTATTGTTCAGTTATGTGAAGGTTGTGTGGCTTTGAAGACTTATGGGGCATTCACATTAAGCGTGAGTAAAATTGTCTACTCACTTAATTCACGTGAATCTACACAAATGAATGAATTTACTTGCTTCATTCCAGCGTCAACGGTAATTTCAACGGTAATCCCTGTGAATTCAACCGGGCGGGATCAAGTGATAGACACAGGTTTTCTACAATTTACCAGGTAATCCGACTTCCTCATACACTTGCCTCCAGGCGAGCTCCTTTTTACTACGGTTTCGGTAATCGAAAGAAAAGGTATCATGTAATTCAGGGCACCCACACACCGACACGATCAGTTTGTCTTCCATTTTAGATACCATTGAACAACCGTCTGTTTTCAAACGTCACCCAGCAGCCTTCGTGCTTATTAGTCATCCCGACATGAATATCCGCTGAAGTTGAGATAGTTGCAGCGTCATTCCCATCACCAGAGTAGTAGGAGCGTCTAATCGCGTCTTTATATTGACTTAACATGTAATTCATTCACACAAATGATTTTACTCGTGCTTGGTGTGTGGAGACAGTTACTGTCCAGAAACGACCAACTCCAGCAGGGTGAGACCAGTTGTCTGGGCTGACCTGATATGAAGTAGGACTCTGTCTGTGCTCGTGAAATCATTGCCATAGGGAGAGGTTAGGTCTACACCAACATGAGGAGATAGATGTGTATGTTTATATATATTTTATGTCTGACCAAAGCAGCTAAAATAACCAGAATCTATCTATAGAGAGACCCGTTCATACACACTGCAATCATATTTCATTTGATCACTCAGCTGTATGAGAGACCAGTAGACTTCATTGGGCGTGATTATGCTTGTGGCAGTGATTTGGTAACTACTGTTAGCTAGCTTGCCCACTACAAGTGTCAACAAAGCTTTACTTAGAGCCAGGATTGGAGCATATCTAGCAGACAGACAGAGAAAACAGTCCAAGGCAGATATTTTGGTGCACTTAAGTTTTATTTTGATTTGGCCAAAAACTTCAGGGATTTCTGTGTAATTCTGTGTGTAATGGCACAGTGTATATGGTGTAAATCATGCTGATCTGGGCACGTGCCGCAAGTTTTCCAGTTTTGCTCAGTATTTTGTTCCAAATCAAGCAGCTGATGCTTCGTTATGACTTTGCCAAGACTCATTTTAATTACAGTTATTTTCGGTGGTTGTTATTCAGCGTCAGTTTTTCTGTCTTCATACCTTTTGCCAGCATTGCCAAGACATTTTCATTAAATTCCCTCATAGTTGGTCTTTTGACAGTCTTGAAAATCTTTGGAGTACCCTGGGTTCACTAAAACTTTCTCAGTGCAGCTCTTTTTTTACACAGTTATGTCTTTATTAACACTTTAAAAGGTCAGCAGGACGATGCTGTGAAACAGTTTTGATCGATAGATCTGAGCTTTCCAGCGTCAAGTCTTACAGATACAACATAACTCTGTTTGACACCTACACAAGTGTTCATTGTGTTTAGAAGAGGTATTATTCTTCGCTGCAGCTGAGTGTCGTTTGTCAGGAAAAGCTAATAAAAGGAGAATTGTCACTTCAGTTATCAAAGAGGCAAAGTGAAAGAAACGTACTATTGCAGCTTCTTTTTCAAGAGGTAAAAAAAAAAGGATTTTCTTCCACTTTTACTAAACACCAAACAGACTCGACTTGTCTCTTCCTTTAGCATGTTTTTGCGTTTGTTTCCAAATTTTCTGAAAACCTTTTTAATATTTCTTAATTCTCAGGTGTGAATCTTTTCAAAGTTTTTAAAAAATAAGATTCATAATTCACCCTCTGCTGCTGTAACGACTTCAGTACATGAGAGACAAACTCCCTGTTTTCCATAAATGCTAATACGGCAGTAAAAATTTGTGATGAGTCTGGAAATATTCGGTTGACTCCGAGGTCAGGAAACAAACTCGGCGCACAAGACATGGTGAAATAATAATTATAGAAAGCAAGCCTTGTTTGAGTTTGTGAGGCTGTCAGTCAGCAGCTGTGACAGCGAGGCATTGTTTCATCTTTATCAATTCACAACAGTCCTCCTTGTGAATTATTTTTGTTTTTTTTCTGAAATAATTACAACAGAATAAGCCAAAAAAGAGGGAGAAATCATTTCAGAAGTAATCAAACTCATGAGCACTGCGTAAAACTATTTTTAGGCTCCATTAAATAGGGTTACAAAACAAGCTCGTCCTGAGTCCAGCTCCCAAGGTTATCCTCACTCATGTATCAGCCAATCAAATGTGCAAACTTGCATATGTATGCTTCTTAAACTCCTCTCAAACTGAAGGATTTGCAGAGCCTGACAGTCTCAATTTAGGGCGAGAGTGACCCATTTAAGAAAACTTTGATATTTTCAAAGAAAACGCATGAATAAAAGAGTTTAAAGCTCTAGTGTGGATAACCGCTGAGTTTTTCTCTTCTCACTCACACAAAACATTGTCCATACAGCTGTGGGGATCTTCAGCCTATGTACACACACACACACACACAGATCAAATAGTTACAGTCAGTCACAGAGCGGGGACCAGCATGACATGAGCAATTATAATCTTCCAAAAATACATCTCCCTCTTTACACAATCCCTGTTCAAGCTAATAGACTCTGTGGTCGAGGATTTATGTTCAAATCGCTGGAGGAAAAGAAGCAAGAGAGGGGACAGTGAGCGAGCGAGCGAGAGAGAGAGAGAGAGAGAGGTTAAACTTAAACACGCCTGTTTAGTTTCTAATCCTGAGGAAGCAGTCATACAGTCTCTGTTTTACTGTCTTACGGTTACACTCAACTGCTTTGGTAACCATCAAATAACAGAAATCTACACTTTGAGCAGGTATTTGTTGTTTACACGCAAAAAAAGTCCATCTCATTGACCTCATCTCTGTATATTTTTGGTTGAAGCCAGATATTGGGAAACAAAGACAAACTTAAATGATCCTCTGTTACTCTGACAAAAGATTTTAAGATCCTCCGTTAACATAAAAAATTGTGGGAACTTTCTCTCTGAAGAAATGACTCAGTCACTGACAATGAGCTGGTTTTCGTGGTCTGTTTTTATTATTGGGCTTTTTGCCCTTTTTTGGGAAATGACTCTTCAGCGCTGAGAGCTTCGAAATGTTTTAGAAATGAGCTCAAGCAACCCGAGATGAACTCCGTTCAAAATAAAGAGTCATTACGTGGTCACGGACAGTTAAACACATCTAATCGTACCTGTTGACTTTAATCTGCCGTAAATCAATCTAACATTAGTCTGTAGTCATCCGTAATAATTCATCAGTACGTGCTGTTGTTCGTCTCTGACTGTCTAACATGAGTCTGGTTCTGCTCAGGGTTTCTGCCTGTTTGCTCTTCCTACTGTAACTTGCTAAATCTTCCCCAGCGTTACACTCATGGTAGAGAAAGATCAGATCAGGGTGGGTCTGATCTTAAAAGTTGAGACTCTGCTTTATCCCATCTTGCTGTGTGGTCTTCTGAAGAGTTTGGTCTGGTCCAGGTTTTCTTGTAAAGCATCAGATGTTCACCAGTCTTCCCTGAGATCTCATAAACCACCTTTAATTTCAGAAGAGTAAGCGATACTCATGCCTCATCTGGTTGCCAGGTGAAATATTTCGGTGTAAAAATGTAGAAAATGAGGGATTAAACATTTTGCAATAAGCTATAAAGAGAGACGAGGTTTGAGACTGAGACGGGGCTCATGAGGACATGTGGAAGAGAAAGGAGCTCAAAGATGACAAGAGAATGAAAGATGAAGATTAGTGGCAAGAAAAGGAAATTGCACCATGTTTGTATTTCTTTGTGTTATGCAGTTAGAGCGCTCATCGATCATCTCTTTGTTTTTATTACGAGGAATAATGAATCACCGCCTGGTTTTAATTTGACGGCAGGTTTTGAAATTATGAAATACCTCAGCCTCTTTAACTGGCATTTAATATCATCTCTCATTCCTCCCCTGGCAACTTTAAACAAGGTGTTTGCAATAAAACCATCACATTCAGTTTTATTCCTCTCTTCAAAACCTCCTCACTGCCATCAGACGTCTATGGATAGAGTTTTAAAATTGAGCTAAACTGACAATCTGATGACACCAGCCCTTTTTACATTTCCAGTTCATGTAGTGATATTTACACTCCTCAAAACACTGCTGCACCACTAGTATCACTACTCACTTGCTCTGCTGCCATTGCCTGGATTGCAGGACAGGACCTTCATGCTGCTTTTACATCTGCAACTACTAACTGTTGTCAAGACCAGCCTGAGACAAAAACTAACATTTCGCCACAGTGTCAACAGGCTGCGGTGAAATAAGCTCCTTTCTATGGTTTAATTTGTGATCACATACAGTGCCCAGCATGAGTCAGTACACTCTCTATTAAAAGTAATGTATTTCTCAAGATCTAGATGAGCAAAAGTACAATTTCCAAAGTTTTGACAAAGCTGAGTTTGACAACATTTTATTAACCATAAGATGAAACTAAAGGTGATATAGTAACTAAAATTTAGCTTTGCTCCCAGAACTTTGATTGGAGTGTACTCATTTTTGCAGGATTTTAAATTGCAAGAAATACTTTTTTTGTATGCAACTTAAAAGATCTTGTTTGCAATCAATGGCCTTAATTTGGGGGAGTATTTTGCAGTATCGTCTGACATAGAAAATGTTGATTTCGAAAGGAAACTAAAGGTTTTCTGACAACTCTGAAGGGGTGTACTCATTTATGCTGCGCTCTGTATGTGATCAGGTTTGCCCCTGGCTAGCAGTCGCAGATAAACTGATAGTTTCCATCCCTAAAACTGCCATAATGGATCACGGATCAGGGTCTAATAAGGCCTTTAAATGGGATTTTACAAATATACATGCAATGAGAAAAAGAAGAATTAGCTGAGGTTCATTTTGACTAAATTAATAAACAACTAAAATGGAAACTTAGTTATTGGTGGACATAGGGAGGCCATATTCTCAAACACATTCACACTCAACCCTTTCTGCCAATGTCATTGTAATGTCCCCCAAGGTCATATAGTTAACTCTGGTCTCTTTCTCCTCACTATTTTGTCTCTTGCATGGACAGAGCTAAGATTATACATATTTATCCTCTGATTCTGAGTTTCTACCTCATTGTTGGTCACCCCGGAGTTATCTAAGAGGATTTTAGATGGTCCTCATGGCATTTGTTCAGTGCTGCTGATAGTCCAGGTGGCCGGCTTAGCTCTGGCCTGATTCCGTTGATTCGAGATCGCTGGTGGTGCCATAAGTTGATCTTCTAGTGACTAAGTGCCATGTGCTGGCATGTAGACGTGGTGGACAGACTCTCTCCAAAAGCCTGTTTATCCTCCGAAAGACTCGGATAGAGCAGGAAGAATAGAGGACACTCTCTCTTATCGGGTCACGACTCTTCTTCAAACGTTACCCTCTTACTTCTCTCGACACCTATCTTCTCTGTACACGTTTTTGTTTTTTCATTAAGTCACTTTTCAAACAACGGTCACCAGCCGAGGTTAAAACTTTTCTCCTTTTTTTCTAGACAGTTGGATCGCCTGTCTTATATCCAGCATGTATTAGGGTCACATGACCAGCCATGGTTTGGAGAGCGATTGAGGGATGAGAGGAAAAGTTAAACATGGATAAAGGAGTTTAAAAGGATAAAGAGAGGGAGAGGATAAGAATTAGTTGTTGTTTTCTCCATGGATGATGTGGTTTGTACTGAGTCTGTCAGTGTGTGTCTGTGCATGTTTTGTGTTTTTGAGCGGCTGTAGATGTTTCCTAAAGGTCACAAAATGATCAATCCACGGGAAAACGTGTTTAAAACAACATATATGTAGAGTAGAATCTGGTTAGTGCAGTTAAGTGACAAATTTAGTGGTTACACTGACCAGCACAGGCTACTTCTGTTCTGTTTGCTCAGATGCTGCTGCCTCCTGACTTCATCAGCTCAGTTGTTGGCCGTCTTCGCTGTCACACACTCGGCTGTCCTCCTTTGGCAGATTTCTTAAAATCACAGCAACCTCTCAGAATCATGATCGCAGAGCCTTTAATCACTCGTACTGTAGAGGGTTCGAACAGTAAACAATTCGCAGTTAGCTTATGGAAACAAAAGTAAACTTCATTTTTCTAAATTAACATCTGTCATTTTAAGAAAAGGAGGAATAATTACAGAGATATTCTTAAAGGGGAACTATTCTGCTGATTTGTAATATGTGTTGCAATGTGGGGGTGCTTGAAATGAGGTACACAGTCTTGTTTCTAGACATGGCCATAATCTTACGACATGTTATGCTATCATACCAGGATGATACCAACAGACCAAGCCTACCTTGCAGCTCTGTCAAAGAAACACCTACCTGTTAGCTGGAAAGTCCATTTCACTGCTTGGCCTTTTACTCCAATCTCACATTGTCTTCCAATTATGCCTTTACACTTCACCAAATGTGTCAAATCTATCTTCCTCTCTCTAATACATTTCTAATCTAACATATTTTTTCCTCCTCGTAGGATAATAATAGATGTGATTAGCCTGATGTCCGTGCTAATTAAACGAGGAAGACTGCACTACATGCACAGAGAGATCTTGAGAGGTGTGAAGTAACAGCTGCAAGTAGTAAGTTTGTTTGTGTTTTACATTAATGTGACAAGACGAGCAGATATAAGTCTGATCTGTTTTCTATCTTCCATCTCTCTGCGTAAACAGCGTGATTGTAGGCCTGCTGTAGTTCTTTCAGTCTGAAACGTGATCACAACATGCACTTATTAGAGTTAATTAAAGCAGCTCTGTCATGAAACTTAACCTGGATCTGTGTGTTAGTGACTGAATCAGAGGCTCCAGGTTGTTCTGCAGTCATTTTTGCTCATTCAAAGATAAGCTATTCAACTTTAACATCAGTAAAATCAGGCTAACCTCACATTCTCTGTCCGTGATCGCCCGCCCTGCTCTGCTGCTCAGTTTGTATTTACATAAAGAACTAATACAGCCCTTACCCACTGTCTTTAATAGTGTATTAATACTATTTTTAAAGCCAAGTACTCAGCTCACAATAAGCTACGAATGAGGAAATGATTGCAATACATTTCAAATATATTAAAAAAAAAAAAAAAAAAAAAAAAACAATCAGAAATATTGATTATTTATTGTTGTTTATTGTTTATTAGGATCTACATCAGCTTTTGTCAAGACAAAGCTAGTCTTCATGGGGTCCAACACAGAAAATAAAACATTACATAAACATTCATCCATGATTATACAATCACGTCATCTACAAAGCAAATAATTAAAAAAGGTGAAAAAGGGTGTTACAAAGAAATAACAGAAGGAATCAATTTGAAATAAGGCAGGATCATATACAATACATGAGTTTAGTGCCTCTGTGGATTAGTACAGGCTTAATCTCATCAAGTGTTGTTTTAAGTTTGAGGATAAGGATAACCAGATTTCTCTATGTGCGTGTAAACAACGGATCCAGAATATGATCAAAACTGGGATTAGGCTTGTAAACGGGATATTCAAATTCATGTAAACACCAAGAATGAACCCAACCTCCATGTTGAAGCTGAGGTACATACCGAGCCGCACCTTAAAACAGATGCAAGTTGAAGATAAATAAGGAGCTTTTTTGAGGAATCAACAGGTCAGAAGTTTTTAGAGGTTCTCATGGATGTAGAAAAAAACGCTGACTCTGTATTTAACGCTGGAAATCCTTGGTCTCGTGGCCCCAGCTGTTTGGCGCTGCTGCTTCGTGCTCGGTTCTGAAAATGAAGCTGAGCTGGATCAGACCAAACCAAACATGAATCTGATGGGATCCTGGTGAAGGCTCATTTATACAGATGGAGCTCTCTGTCCGTGCTTCACGTTCTTTTCCTCCGTATTTCTGCAGGTATCCTTGAAGTTTATGGATACGGACCAAATGAAGCAGTACCACCGGAAACCGTGGGGGCGGTGTTGCTGCTGTCACTACCTGATACACATCTCTAGAGAGAAAGGAAGAAGACAATGGTGGGGCTTTTTAAGGATCGTCGTCAATTTTTGTCATCCGTACTTCTCGAGAAAAGAATTCTCCGTCCTCTAACCGCAAGGCATCTAGTGGCCTGACCAACCACCGTCTCCTCCAACACTGCCTCTGTTTCTGTCTCCTTTGCAAAATTTACATTAGCGTTAGCTCCTACACAGTCGCCATTTTTCATTTTGTTTGTCGTTGTCAGAAACTTTTGACTCCGGCCTGCCACCTGGTCAATGGAATGGATCACATCCATGCCAACGTAAAGGGACGCATGGAAGTGTGTGAGCAGTGACAGAACCATTGCTTCAAACGAACGCGTACATTTTCACACATATGGCGTGCATAAATGAGCCTTAAGACTGGTGCGATCTGATCAGTAAGAGGGACCGACTGCGAACCAAACCACACATCTACCTCTACATATTCACCCTTATGCTGCAGCCAGTTACCAAGAGGAGCTCAAAAGGTTCTGGCGTCTCTCAGGATGGTTTCCACGATTGTTTTCAAATCTGAACTCTGACCTCTTTCTTCTTTTCCTTGAGGGATGAGATTTGATCTCAGTAAGAATAATGAGATCCCATATAAACCAGGTGTCAATTCAAAGGCAGGATTAGATAGTTTACTGGGATAACAACCGGGTACAGATGGCATTTTAATACCAGGTTTTAATGGGATGTAACTCAGCTTGTGTTTGTTGATGTTATTTGGTCTTTTGTATTAAAACCAAAAATAGGACAAGGTGAAGCTCCGACGATTTCAGTGTTTTTATGAAAGAAGAAAGAGAGCAAAACACGGACTGCCCAATTAAGAGGAAAATAACAGCCTACAATGTCCTTGTGTCCTTTTGTTATTCTGTGATTCACTGTGAGCTACCGGTTCATAAACAGAGCCGTATTAATGAACATGACCCAAAAAGAAAGCTGTTTTTTTTTTGTTTTCGAGATTTACGCTGGAGTATATGAGAAGAAAAAAACAGCAGTTATCAACTCTTTGTTCTGTAATGCAGGAATAATATCCTTTTAATCATTCTGTAGCCCGTTTGTACGGCCTTCATAACACTGTGATTCGTTGCAGAAATATAAACTAAAGTCGGTGTTGTAAGTTCTCGATGTAAAGAGGGCTGGTGTGAATGGTGAAACACTTCCTGTTATAGTATGACATAAACAGGCAGTAAATTAGGAATAAAGTGGGACAAGACCCTGGTCATGGGGAGAACTTTTTGGACCACTTCTTGCCCCAGAATCACACGCTTGTGCACAAGTTTGCACCCGGACATACACAACCACTCTGATCACATCAAGCTCACCCATCTTGGAGGCCAAGCTAGTCTCCTGTCTTCTCCTCTGAGTCTTGAAGAGGAGCTGGATGGTGGTCCTGAGGGGAGCGTTTCTCCTGCCTCTGCTGGAACTGCATTCAGTTTTGACCTTTTTCAGGCCACAGAGCTGAGACATGAAGAAGACCTAGATGGTTTGAATCTCCTCCTGAGCCTCTTCTCAGATCCTTTTGGGGATCTTCTTCCCTCACGGTCTCTGCCACTGATCATTGTCCCAGTTAGTTCTCCTATACAGGGGTCATCATGCTCAGAGCTTGGTTGAGAAGATCCAGCTGGAGCTTCTGCAGGTGAAGTTTGATCTTCTCCGCCTCCTCACTTTGTGCAAACTGGCTCTTGTGGCTGGTGCTCTCATCCTCAGTAGTGCAGGGTACAATCTTTGGGAAGTTCTTTAGCAGCTTCGCACTGAGGTTGCTGATGTTGGTTTTTGGGATCCTAAACCTTCTTTTTTTGGACTAATGTGCATTTTTCTGGAGATTCTTGAGCTGTCTATCAGCTCTGAGGTGTCTCTGTCTTTGGTCTGTGTGCTCTGCTCCAACCACTTTACCTCCTGAGCTACTGCCACCTTGTTATCAAAGTCCAATACTGCAGTGAAACTTGACTGTAATCGAGAGTTACAACTGCAGTTTTTTTACCACATCCATATCAGCCTTATTGCTCAAGACTAGAGGTTGCATTTGGGAATAACTGGTTCGAGTTAAAGCCCCTGTGATTGGATACTATGACACCCCATCGTCCAATGAATGAGTTGCTTATTCTCCATACAAGTGGAAATTTGTGGATGAACAATCAAACCTGAAGGTCAAAAATGGATGATTGAATAATTCACAGCAGTTGGCACAGCTACTAAGACAAATCCTCAAGCTGAGTGGATATTGCAGTGCTGGAAGTCCCAGTGTCAACACCGAAAACCCGCCATCTGCAGGAGACTGCATGTGGGTGAGAACTGTGGCTGCTACTGAGCCATGGCCGCCTAATATGACCGTCATATCTGCTGGTGGAGACACCTGGCTTGATAGACAAGAAAATAAACGAGCTGTTGTTGTACGACAAAGATTTGTGCGTATTTGTTGTATCCCCGTCTCTCTCTTTCTGTCCGTTTGTTTGAATAAGTGACAGAGAGATCTGGACTAAACTGCTGCTTTGTTGGAACATCCAAGTATGACAAACAACAAATAAGGGGAAAAATAATCAGTTTTCGAGGGACGAGCCGCGCCGTTGTGGAGAGAAAAGATCAGGGCGTGTTTGAGGTGAGGTTGTCTTTTTTGTTGACACTCTTGATGTGGATCAGCTCTAAGCTCTGAATGTGTGCTTTGGTTTGGAAAGACTGTGTGTTGAGGGGGTTCGGGTGAACTTTTGTAAAACCAGCAACAAAGCCTCTTCGCTTCAGCCAAACCACGTTTTACTGTGTGCTATGATGAAAGAAAAACTGGCAGTGGTTTGTCCTCATGGAAACTGATACAGAACTAATCCACAGAGCCTGAAAGCATTTGGAAAGGAGAGGACTCACTCCATCGAGCTTTTTCAATCCTGTTCATCAGGACTCAACCACACACACACACACACACACATAAATACACCCATGCACTCTCACAGCACACCGTCCCCATGGAGAAACATTTTACACTCCACAGTGGTGAGAGAATTTCAAGCGTTAGACTTGTAACAAGCATTTAAGAGCACTGATGATACTGAAAACTGTTTTTTTTTTATAATAGTCAACAGGGACTTAATTAATTTCCCAGAATGTAGCGTCCATCGCAGCTCTGCTTTGTGAGCCGGTCTGAAATGCAAATAAGCTAACAAGCAAAGTGTGACATTATTCTCTGTGTCATTTCATTTTAAGCTCTGCAGCAATTGTGATTTGTTCATTATTCACTTGAAAGAATGTTGTAATGTGATAAAAGTCCAGCCAAATTATGGAGGAAAAACACGGCGGAGAGTCAAAGGAGCCTTTTACTTTTATATTTATGACACTTTTTTTTACCTTTTTACAATAAAATACGCAACATTGAGCAGAAAAATAGCTTCATAAACGCTTTGACATGGTATGTAAATCCTACATGATTCTCAACACACCATTACTGCCCTTTTAATGCTGATTATAGCCTGTAACATGTCAAACCTGGTGGAAATGAAAGTGCTCACTCTGGTCTGAAATGAGAGTTCTCCACCTTGCCCAGTTTTGTATTTACGCCTTCACATTTGTGAACATCTCACAGGCTCTCATCCCAAACACTCGGTCTTGACACACGAACAGAGCGGAGCAGGGACAGAGTCCAGCAGACAGAGGGAACGTAAACAGGCCTGACAGGTACATTAACAACTACTAGTGCCATACAAACTTGACCTCGTTTGGTTCAATATGTCACTCCACAGTCAGCTGCACTTCTGTGCAACAGTGAAATAGGTACACTTGGGTATGCAGGCAAGGTTTCTCTAAAGGGAAATGATTTATTCTTAATTGCAAACAGTGTTTAAGGAGAAATACAAGGATGTGAAGTAGTGTCAGTGCCAGTTAATTGGTAATAGTTTTGATTACTCATTGACGTCTTATATCGGTTAGTAGGACAGCATTTGCACCCGTCAGGAGTTTCGTTTGATCATTATCCTCCATGTGTGACACACATGTAAAGACATTGTGGTGCAGTTGAAACTGTATACTTATATATAGGTTAATTAAGCTCAAAGATGGAGGCTCCAACTCAAAGAAGTTTGGTGGTGTTTTAAATCAGTTTTTGACGAATCATTAGTCACAATCATCTACTCGCTTAATTCGCGCGAATCTAGACGCATGAATTGACAGTATTTACTCGCTTCATTCGCGTATCAACAGTAATCCTAACAGTAAGCTCTGCCAATTCAACTGGTGGGATCAAGTGATAGACAATGTTTTTTGACAATTTCAAAGTCACCTGGCAACCTTTGTGCTGATTGGTTATCATGAGGCGAATATCCGCTCAAGTTGAGACATTTTCAGCTCCTGCCCAATCCGCATAATTTGTGCTGCCAGTGTAGTGGGAGCGCGTCTTTGCGTTGACTTAACATGTAATTCAGTCGTGCAAATGATTTTGGTGTGTGTTGATTAATGAAAAGTTACATTGACTGATTGTCTCCAGAGCTGTCCGGGAGTTTTGGAAGTGCGATTTCCCATACAAAAGTACAGTAATGTCTTTATTTCGTGGCAGTAGCAGGGACACACGGTCACAATGTTACGCCAAAAATGCTGTTTTGCATTTGAACTAAAACAAATGTATTGACTTATTTTATGACTATCAAAAATTTGTGTTTCCCCTTTAACTTTTTGAATATTAATTCTCTGTTTATGGATCATGTGACGATTAAAGGGACTCCAAATACTCTCGTGGTCTTGATAAGAGATAGACCGGTCAATCAGTCAGGCTGATTAATGACACCTTAAACTGATCAGCAAAAAAACTATCAGTCGACCACTAATTCTTTCATCTACGTCTATTCTGATAAGTTAATTTAAGTTTAGCAACTTTGTTTCTCCTTTTTTAAGTATTATTAATTTTTTGTATTGGTCAAATGCCAAAAAAAACAAAAAAAAGGACTAGTTGCGTGTACCTCTCATTATCGATATTGGTATTGTTAATTGAAAATCTGTAATAATTTGATAATTTTTCTTGATTTTGAATGTTGGGATTTATTGTAAAGCTGAAAACAATTTTTCACATTCATTTATTTTGGACCTTAGCTTTATCCCAGCTAACACAGTAACGCTGACGGCCATCATTTTCATCCATTTCTCTTCTTTAAACCCTTTTTTCATACAAATACACCATGTAGCTTATGAAACAGTCATTCACTGTGGCTGAAATAAACATAAATACTTATATGAAATGATTAAAAGTCTAATTTTGTAATTGTGTCCATGTTCAAGCAGAGAACCACGGCTCCCATTCAGACTCAGGTCTAAACTACTAGCTGTTCCTTTTAAACATAAAATGTTCATGTTCATGTTCAATGTGCATCTTTGTAAGCTAAAAGAAAGTATGTTATGTGAGCAGCTATAAAAGCTTTTTTTCAGAGCCTCTTTTTTATTTTGGCAGAGGTGTGCTGATGTCCATTTAATGGATCTTTTCAGCAGGAGCTCTGCTCTGTGTTAAAGCATAAAACATACACGCTACATGCTCCCAAAGATCCCTCTGAGAATAAAGCTTTTACCCTTCACACAGACATTTTACACAAGACGACAGAACATGTGTGCTTATAATTACGCACCGGCACAAACGCACATCTGCACACACACATGCACACACACACGGGAGAGTCTGTCCATTCGCTCACATCTAAACACAAAAGCGCAAGAAATGGTTTTCACCTGGTCGGGATAGAGTTTCATCCTTTCAGCCATGAGAGTTTATTAGCTGCTTAAAACATTACCACAGAGGGAGTTTCCCCTGTGTGCCAAAGTGCTGCATTCCTCAGGGTGCACATGTACACACAGACACACACATATGAGGACAACCTAATGTCCACTTTCCACGGTTGTGTCTCCATCAAGCCAAACTCTCCCCTCTTCACTCTATTACACCAGCATACACCTTCCTATCGCTCCATCAGTCCTCTCTTTGTCTTTCCCTCCCTCTCTTCATCTCTCTGTACCTTATTCGCTCCCTACCTCTCTCTCTCTCCCTCTCACACTTGCAGACACCCACACACTCCTGTAGTAGGTGTAATATTACGACGCAGCCTGTTAACATTCCCGCGCCGCCCGCTGAAGCTTTCCAGATTGTCCTGTTTATACAAACAGTGCTGCAGAGGAGCAGAGGAGACAGAGGAGGAGAGGGATGAAGGATTGGAACCACACGGTGTAAAAAAAAAAGAATAAACACACGTGTGGAAGTGGGAACACACTGACATGCAAAGAAACACATGTGCATCCTTGTACAGAAAAGTGTAATACACAAAGCTCGGTGCACCCTGTGTGTGTTTTCAGACTCACGCACATGTTCAGCGGCACATCCTGCAGAAGGACCCTCAGCTTTCCGTCTCTCATTATGCTGTTGAAATGTCAGCCTCGTTAAAGTGGCCTATTTGACTTAATTGAGAAGCAGAGTGTAAATAAATGCTTCAGTCCAGTTTGTTTTCACTGCTCTCTCCAGCACTCTGCTCTCCAAACCAATTCATCAAACAACCCTTCACTCTCTCGTCTTTCTGTATTTTTCTTCCTCTTTCAACCTTTCGCCTTCAGTCCTTTTTTTTACTTTTATGTACACCTTTTCTTTGTCCTCATCATTCTCTTCTCTCTTCTTCAGACCGTTGCAGCTCTACCTGGTTTCTTTTTATGCTCCTGTTAAAAGTAAAAAGCAGTAGCTGTTGGGAAAAAGGAGGCGCACAGATCTTAATTTTAATAACCATCCTCTTAAAAATTTACATTTGGCTGTGTGGTTGGATCCCTCCTACACAAACTATCTGTGAAATGTCAAAAGTGCAAAGTTACACAACACTTAAAATTGCAGTAGAAGCACCCACTCACACAACTCCTTATAGCAGTTTTAAGATTTCTATTTGGCACCTCGAATTTCTGCTTTCAACCCTGAAAAGAAGAAGAAAAACAAGAAAAAGACTCTTTTGGCACGTAAACACTGGGGATCCAGCAGTACAGTTAGCCCACAGTTCAGTATGTAGCTCATTGTTTTGGACAGTGTTTTTGATTAGTTCTGATGGGCAATGAGAAGTTTCTTTGGTGAACCCTCTTTCGGGTGTTTTGGATGAATTTTGCAAGATCAGCAAAGGATAGAAAAATAAGCTCCATAGTGTTTTAACTTTTATGAACATTCCTGTTGTATCCTAACTTTAAAAAATGAAATTATGAAACAACACTTATGGTTTCTGTAAGTTACCTATTTAGCTTTTCCAACTTCCATGTATTTACTACAGTTGTCGACTCATCTGCTAAATGATATTTTTATTTTATTTTAATTGAACAGTCACATCTGATCGCTTTACATCTGTCTTAAAATCAAATTTGAATCCTGTGCCATCTCATCTTATCGTGGTAATGACCCTGCAGATTCAGTCAAAGGAGGAAACCCTGTATTGTGTATCTATGCATCTCTTTTCTTTTGCTGTTAAGTCTCTGTTCAAGTTTTAAAAATGACTCAAAACTCTTGTTAAAGAGGAACTAGGGCTGGGTCATAAACCAAAAATTTTCCAATACTGAAATTTAGGACAATAAACAACACCATTTTGGCCCATGTCAAAATATTCGGTGTCAAAAAAATAAAGGTTGGTTTTCGATGTGTGTAGGTAGGCTATGGTCTCATGTCCCTTTAAGGCGCTGTCCTACATCAGAGACGTGGCTCCACCCCATCCAGTCTGTAACAAAGAGGAAAAGACAGGTGAGGAGATGGAGGACGGTTCAAAAATTGGAGCGGCTGAAGTAGACAAAGTTAATACAGGAGGGGCTGAGCAGCTTGTGGAGTAGTTATCATTCATTTATTGTTATTGAGGTGAACTGCTCAATGTATTGTGATATTGATTTGAGGCCCTGTCGCCCAGCCTTGAGAGGAACTTTGGTATTTTTCAACTTTGGTATTTTTTCAGTATCAGGAACTGGTCCAGTATTGAGTTGTGAAACAAGATAAAACATACTGTACCTTGACTATGCAATTGAGCATTATCAAACTGTGCACGCAACAAGTGTTTTATTTCACCACTGTTAGACTCAGATTGTAGAAGATTAAAAAATATGTGGCGAAACCAACTAAAAATCAAGACTAATGTATTTATATTTGACCTGTAAAAGACTGACTATTTCTGGTCAAGAGGTCAGTGACAGCAAACGTTTACATTAAACATGACAGAAATTCATATTTAACATTATCGTTGAGTTATAGGAAACAGGAAATAAGTTCAAAGACAGTTCTCAGACATGATTTCTACATGGAGGGTGTAAAGATTGATGTACTTCCTCTCAGCTGTTTTAGATAGTGAAAATAAAACCTCAAGTTCATAATTCCTCATAATAAAGTGAGGATCACTCGTGCAGTTTTAGATTAAAGTTTTCGTTACATTTATCTTTCTTCTCTCTCAGCTCCGTCAAACCATCCCTCCCTTCTCTTCCTTCCTTCCTTCCTTCCTTCCTTCCTTCCTTCCTGTTCATCCACCTTTACCCGCCCTCCCTCCTGCTTCCCTTCAGTTTCTGTCACCTACTAGAGTTACCTGCCGTTACTCTGACATACACTGAACCCTCTCTGTCTGACACAAACACTCGCAGTGAAGCAGAGCCTGAATGCTCCATTGCCCGCTCTTAACGTACACACACTATCTCGTTGACCCGTGCAACCTCGCAGACTGACGAGGAAACGCGGCCCGCTCTCGAACACAAACACTGAGACGCACACTGTCTCAAACACAGCCGCAAATGTCACACTCCAAATCCTCTCATTTCCTCCTTCCTG